GAGAGGACTGGTTACAGTGGGACACGGAGGCCTGAGAGGACTGGTTACAGTGGGACACGGAGCAGACGTTCACACAGGTGAGTACAACCGCCGGACAAACTGACCGAGAGCATATTTTTGGGGCTTTTTCTATGTCTTTACTTGATAGGACAGGTTAATATAATTTAGTCAAAATTTGTCAACACAACAAGAGCAGGCATTGGTGTGTTTATTGACACTGGGATGTCTGTATGACTGTCAGTCAGTGTTTTTAACTTCCCAAATCTTGCTCTTGACAAATACCCTCCGTGTTATAATAATAAAAAACTAACACTGAAACTAATACAAACCAAACCTTTTTAAACAATAAAACCTAAATAAACCTACTGTGGAACCTAACTGAAACTAAACTAATGAGAAATACTAAACTATATATATATATATATAATAACTCAGACCACCAACTGTGTCTCTGATTTTGGTGAAACTGGATCATATTTTATGGGGAAAATGGTTTTCCCTCTGATGTCTTCCGGCTGCTGGGATCATAAGTAATGTAATCATAACACATGCAGTCTGTCTATATTTACCACAGTGGTATTTTGAAACCGGGGGCACCAAATCGCACAAATACCCAATCTTGCATAGTCTTTTTAGTTCATAACCTTTAGTTTTTACACACCGGTTTGAAAGAGGCTGAGATTTAATGAGCAAAGATCAATGATTTCATGTTCCAAAGCTCTAATCTAACCAAATCTAACTGAGGTTACTATTGTAAACAACAACAACAACAACACGTGGTGCTTACTATTTAAAACAGACACACAACACAACAAACAAAGTTGACTCTTCAAATGTCATTATTTTCTTAAAATAAAAACACAAACATACTTTTGGCTGTGAATAGAATTGACACAATTGTTGTCAACAAAGTTCAAACATAAGATCGTTGTCGGAGCGGCTGTGTTATTTATCTGGAATAATCTAATATGACGTTCAATTATGTGTAACTATGGCTGCCTAGATTATGTTAATCCAATGTCACTGCAGTTTTATCATATGCATGAGGAATGAGGAATTAAAATTCGTGTTGTCTTGTTTGACACAAAACCTTCTCGGGAGTTACTTATTTCACCTTTGCTAAGAGATGACTTTTTTAAGTTGTATGAAATTATTAGAGTATATAGGGTATAAGTATATTTAATAGTATTATATAAACACTTTTTTTTTCATTTTTCCATCATCGTGGTTTGCTACATTTGTCTCCCCAACAGTGTGATAAAATGATTTTACAGCCCAACAACACCTCCTGCAGCTACTGATCTGTGAAAGGCTCTGAGGTTGTATCTGAGCACTCAGCCGAGTTCTCTGTGCAGATGCATTCACCTTCCTGATGAGCTAACAAGGCAGACAGCACATTCCTCATTTTGAAAGCCGGAGAGAGCTGACGACAGAGGAACCCAAAGGCTTGGATTCTTCCAGAAGGGCATTATTACTTCGACAGTGGACGTACAAAAATGTTTCAAGAAGAAATCTTTTTAAAACAAAGAAACCCCAAACATCTGTTTACCTTCCATCTAACCTCCCGGAACAAATTCCCCCTGTCAACAGCGAGACATCCTCTGTAGATAAAGGAAGCTGTTCCATTATTTGTCTATCAGTGGCTGCAAACGGCTTCATCCTGGATACCGTATGTCCTTCTGCTGCACGGGGATTAATGCTTAAGGTGTCTCTCTTTCTGTGTGCATATGTACACAGATGTAAAATCCAGCCTCATTATCATGGGCTTATATAATTCTGATCTTTCTCTGTTACATGCTGTGAGTAGAATAGAGACTGCAGCTGGGGATGGAAAGGCTATTTTGGTCCATGGCCATTTCCTTTTTCTGCCTCCTGACTGATCTCCTCCTCATCCTCATTTTCTTTCTCATGAACAAAAAAAACCCTGTCTGCGTGGAGGGTTCTGGGAGTGCTTATTACAGCCGCAGGATATTAATGTAAAGCAATCATTCCTGTACTTATCTCGAAGGCCTCTATTGAAATGTGTGGAAATGGATTGTTTTTCCTGCAGAAGTGCAAATATATAACGCCAGTGGGGCCGAGTACTGTACGTTTGTCAGATTGTGGAGGAGAAGGCATTCAGGAAGCCGCTGGGTTTCTTCTATTTTCTGCTGCATCAGCGTCATAGTCAATTGAACTTTAAATGATCAATTTGGAAGCGAAGAGCCTGTGATCAATGAGCTAATGGCGGAAATACCAATGTTCTCGCTTTGTGATGTAAGAGTGCTGAAACTGGCTGTGACAGCCTGTCTTTCAGGCCTGCAGATCTCCTCTCGCCCTTCTTGAGAAAACGGCCTCATCAGTGTGCCTCAGTGTGTCTGTACGTGCGTGGATATGGAAGAAGTTGGCACACCGCAGGAAGATTTCAGATTTTTATGGTGAGAACATGCTGTGAAAAAGGAGCAAGGCAGAACACGTTTATGTACACATGCGTACCAGAGAGAGTCCATCAGGGACAAATTTACATCACTGGGGGCTGCATATTTTTTTTATTGAATACATTTCCTGCAAGAAATTGCCTTGATTGTTTCTGTATATTGCAGCTTAATCAGTTAGAAAGAAAAACACACACACACACACACACTGCAGACTATTGCCAAGTTTGTGCTTTGATATTCTTATGAAGCCAAACACCACAGAGTAACTACAAGATTTCACTGATCAACACGGCGCTAAATCACAAACATGACACAGAGGATCTTTCAATTTATTCACCATTTTTAAAATAGACTAAAACTGGCCTTCATGAAGCACATTCATTTTTTTTTTCAGTTCTACTAATTATTAGCGAATTTTAAGAAACATTTTCACCGCTTTGAGAACATTCAAAGCACTTGCTAATGACTAAATAAATACAATTCACAACTGCAGTGCCAAAAATAGCCTTAAGAAAAAACATAAATACAAAATGTTTATGTTGCCGTTACAATCACATCCATCATAAATATTAAGACACCCATCGGCAGTCCAACAAAGCGCTACGAGGCTATGAGGGCAGGAGGTTTTGGCAGATTCACAGCAGAGGAGAGACGGAGGGAGGAGAGTAAAGCACAATGAATCAAACAGCGATCAGTCGGTGATTTGGTGTTTTTTAAGTTCCTGTGCTCGGCTCACCACCGCACCACCTGGCTGCTGTAGTCCTCTGTAGTGGCTACTTCCTCGAGCACCTTCACCTCCTCCTCTACCTCCTCCCCTCCTCCTCCTCCTAGTCTCCACAGCTGAGCCAGATAGGTCCTGTGCATCTGCTGCCTCTGCTGCCTCTCCTGCCACCTCCTCAGACGCTCCTCCTGGTGCTGCTTCTGGCGGTTATACTGATAGCGCCGCAGGAACAGCTCCTTGGCGTACTCGTACAGCTCCATGTCAAGGGCGTTGAGGCCCTCGATCCGCCACCGCACCTTCTCGCTGATTCCAACGCTGGCGGCGCGCGTGCTGTTGATCTGCGTGAAGGCCCGGATGAAGCGCAGGCCGAACGTCCGCTCGAACAGGTACTGCGTCTTGCGCTGGAACTCCGTCAGGCCATAGAAGGCCATGTTGCGCAGGTTGGCCTTGGCGCTGGCGAGTAGCACGCGGCCTCGCTCCAGCTCACTAACTGAGGACATGTTGTAGCAGCCCACCAGGCTGAGGTCGGCCAGCATGCGGACCTGGCGGTTGTTGGCGAGGTTAGAAGGGCAGCTCATGAAGTCTGCCAGGGGCACACCTGTCCAGTCTTCACCGCTGTAGCAGGCGGGCAGCTCGTCCTGCGTGGGTGGGCGGCCGTCGCACATGTGGAGGGCGGTTTTCCAAGTGGCCCCACGCTGCACGTGCTTCCACTCACTGAGGTAGCGTGACACAGGGTCGCGTAGCATAGTGATGTAGTAGAAGTTCCTGCAGAGACAGATCAAGAGATGCATAAGATCACGAGAGCTCAGGGACATGCTTTCTCTGACTTAATCTTTACACGGGTTAGACGAGAAGATTGAGCCCACCCTGATGTTTGTATGTTTGCTATCAGCTTTAGTGGTTCGCTCCTCATACGCAGATGATGTCAGGACAGCTATGAAGATGGTTTTCAATCCACTGTTTATTACCTTTTTACCTTTGCATAGATAATACAAATTTTATTTCCTTCAAATAGCTCCCGCATTCTTAAACTGAATTGCAACAGCATACAGTATTAAGATCGAGATGGTACCTGTGTGTGTGCAGTGAATGATTCAAAGGTTGAAGATACTGTCTGGCAAAACACCACGAGCCACATTTTCAACAGGGAGGATGAAACTATACATCAAATTTTTCATATCCTGCTGCAGATAAAAAAGAAATATGAGCGGGAGGAAATACCACAGCGCTGGAAACACTGTATATAGAGAGAGCACTGTGATTAGGGTTTAAATGAAAAACATCATCAAGTGCGTCTGAGGGTGTTAGAGAATAATGACATAGAAAGCAATGCAAACCAAGCATGTATAGCATTTAATATCCTGCAGATGTGAAACAGTTTTTGTTTTTGTCACACCAATTTGCTCCTGCCTACCTCTAATGAGTTTTTTCCATCTGCAGCACCTTTCGTGTTTCTGGATCGCTCTGATCTGCCACGAACGGTGCTTCAGAAATTGCTGTAACCCAGCAGCACGAAAAGCTTTCAACTGACAAACACAGCCTCCCGCTCTTATCTACCGAGTTCAGAGATGACCAGCATAACAGCGAGGTGACTGAAGGAGTCAGTGCCAGGAGAATTTCAGCCATTTTCAAAAAGTTTTTCTAAAAGGACGACAACACAGATAAAAAGGGAAATTGAAAACGTTCATCTTGCGTGCAAAGATCACCGTGACCTTATAGCGTCAGAGAGAGAAACCAAACAGAGAGCCTGAATAAAAAGCTGAACATTTTATTTCCTTCATTCCTCAGGGCTACAGTTTACCTTCATTCAACAGCTAAATAAAGAATTTAGATTCAAGGACATTTTACTGCAATGCTGAGCTGGAAAATGTTCTTTTAAACCCTTTTTTACAGGAATGTTTCAGAAATGTCAGTTTTCCATACATGATGCATTCCTTTTCTCCCACAGTCTTATCACTTGTTGGTGCTTTATTTCTTGGACTGCCTGTTACTCTGCCGGTGTAGCAGCGTTTTCCATTTGATTTCCTCTCCTTGAGAGTAAGTCTCTGTGGACTGAATTTGGCCAAGAAGAGCACAAACCGCTGTGATGAGCTGGATGGGCTCCCAAAATGAGATCCCTTTGTGGGTTCCTTTGTGTATAATATATACACTCTGTGTGTGTGTTTGTGAGACTAGGTGAGCAGTGCCAAGACACACCTGGCGAAATACTTAATTTGAGTAACTGTTTTCTTTAGCAATAAACCTAGGAGCCCGGCACAGTTATATTAAGGCCTCTTTTGCTATAGCACAGTGAAAAATGGGTAATGGTGACAGCTAATTATGAACCTTTTCCACCTTTTTTGCTCTGTTGCTATGGGACCGCACAGAAATTATTAGGGTGATGAGGGGGGTCGACCTTATGTTTCACTTTTTATCTTTTTTTTTTTAGACTCTTTATTTCTGGTGCATTACAACATCGCACCACCTTTCACCCTCCCACCAACCGACACACTTTGTCAGGAAAAGAACGAATAAACCAATAATTTAATAATAAGCAATATAAAAAACCAAACTTATAGTATTAATAATAATTGAATAGTTGCAATACCCTATCCCCAATATCTAACAATATAAAGAATTTAAGCTGCTGTACCCTAATTTAAGCCAAATGTTAGCCATGTTTGAACCAAGAAGTGCTACATGCTATGCTAACAGTAATCTCCAGTTTAAATGGAGCGTGGTTTTGACAACCTGTGATGCTGCTGTTCCATCATATTATAGTCTAATTTCACATGACACATTTACTGCAGTTTCCAGCTGTTATGATGCAGAATAAAGGAGCTATTGTTAAGATTAAGAGGATTTATCATAACAGACATATTGGTCCTATCAGCTATTTCATTGATTATGAGAAAATAATGACCTATGGCACACATGAAAACTGTTTTGATCTCTTTTTTTAGATTATTAACCTCACAGGAGAAGTATGAATTGTCTGACCACCACTTCCTCTAATAATTTTCCTACCGTCCCTAATATCTCCTGTCAGTTCAGAACATGCAGTTCCCTCCCTGTCCAGCAGTTGTCCTCATTGTGTCTGCCACCTTTCCACCTCAACTGACCTCCATATTCCCTCATAAGATCCTCAGTGTATATACCTGCTCTTTACTCACTGTTCACTGCCAGATCATCTATTGTGCCATCTCAGTCAGCCTTTATGTCTTTTCTGTTCCTGCCGGCTTTGTTAGTGACCCCTGACCTGCCTGTTCCGACTGCCTGCCTGTTTTCAGTCAACCTTCCTTTACCTTACCAGTTTTACATCTACAAGTTGTGCATTTGAGTCCTGTTTTGGTGAGCTTAAGCAAATTTTTTGAATCTGAAAAAACTATTTTCCTGATTACCTTTTTTTTCAAAGGATGGATTCAAAAAATAAAAGCAACGGCTGTCATAAAAAGCTTCACTCGCATCAAAAGCATTCCCTGTAGTCATTTTAAAAAAAGAAACTGATGAACAATAGATGATTGGTCTCATCCTGCTGACAAAATTTTTCCCTTTCATATAGAAAAATAAGAATTTAAAGGTCTAGTATCTAACATTTAGGAGGATCTATTGGCAGAAATTGAATATATTCATAGGTATGTTTTCACTAGTTTATCATAAAAATTGTTATTTTGTACCCAAAAGAAAGCCCAGAGCAGACAAACAAACACTGGCTGTAAACAGGACCTTATGCGTTTTTTTTAATGAGTTTCACGGCCAACGTAGTTTCTCCTACACACTTTGAAACTGAATCTCATTCCCGGGTTGTCAGATGCCAGCAGTGTTCAGTTAGTTACAATCTGCAACTTCACCACTAGATGTCGCTAAATCCAACACACTGATCCTTTTTAAGAGTCCGCTTTGGATTAAATTACGATATATGATTATATTAGATCCAACTATGCTAATTAAAGGTTTGTCATTTTATGACACAAACATGATGCATTCTTTTAAAGTGCATTGATCGCTATTAGTGATTCTAAATCTAAAAGCGGCAACCACGTAAGAACTGGAGCTTTTACAGTGAGAGCATCTGCACAGCTGTAATTGTTTGGAGTTCGCTGCTTAACTGAGAAATGTGATTAATTGAGAGGGAAGTTGTGTTATTGAGCAGAGTGCACAGCCAAACAGCCTTAAAAGGTCCACAATTTAGCAATTATTGCCAGACGGCAGATATCAGTCAGCTGTGATATATACTTAAGTGAGTGCCATGATGATATCATGGCAGAACACACGCGCAGACAGACACACCACCCAGAGATAATGGCCATCCACAGTGGAAGCTAAGTGAATTACCCTGCCATCTTCGCCGGGTTGAACGGACAGCACGAGATTGATGGACACACAGGAGCGCATCACAAAGCGGCCTTTGTTGTACTTCCTGGAAAACAGCTCAGTCTTTTCTTTTCCTCCTCCTGTGCCTATCATCTATCTGTACAGCTAACCGCGAGACAGCCAGATCAATAAATGTCCATGCAACCCTGCCTTTCTGCATCTGTGCTTTCATCGTGACCTATTGACAAAGAGCAGTAAATGTCAAAGCTCTCCTCTTACTCGTGTCAGGGACAGGGGCGGGGTCAGATTATGAAGGTCAAGAATAATTATAATTATATATTCAGTGAATATTAGACTGTCTTGGTACCACCATTATGACCAATGTTAAAATACAGCAGTGTAGGCCGACCCTATGCTGCTACGGACAGTTCACGCAGGAGCCGGGTTGTTCCTGAATGGAACTGGTTCAAGAACCAGAGCGAATTAGGTGGAAAAGGGTTACTCCTGGTCCACATTTCTCTTCCCAGTAGTTCCCTTTTGGACCCACGATTAGTTATTTTGAACCGCTTGTTTTACCTCTGCTTACTATCTTACCTTCATATTTTAGCACCTAACCAATCATGGATGTATGCATGCTATACATGCATGAATCTGACTACGTAGCAGACTGATGTTGAAACAAAATATTACAGAAAATGCAAAACGTACTTTAAATTACATTTCAACAATCTCACAGTATATTAATTTGAAATTTTGTGGTATTTTGATAATTCTGTGGGTTCATAACCAAAAGCAGCCCCCTTCCTATTACACATTTGATCTATTGATAATATGAAAATATTGATTATAGCAGCTTTAAATGTTTCTAAACTCTCCAGTGTTCTTGTGAAATCCTTGTGCACTGTAATATGAAACAGTGCTAAGACCATCTTTGCCTTTTGCCAATAACTGTTTGTTGGTTGACGAGACTTTCCCGAGCTTAAAACAACTCTTCTTCACCATCCATCTCTCTCAGACATCATCTGTCACCCGTCCTGGTTTATTCCATGCTGGTGCTTAAGCTCTTTGCTAATGTGCTGAATGGCTTTCAAGTCTTTCAGGCCTGAACGGGACAAAGTGGGAACACTCGGATACCTGATTGATCGAGCCGAAATCTAATGTTCTCAGAGAGATTTGCGTGACTATAAAAGACACTGAGTCAAATCTGTCATGTATTAGCGCAATCGCTGTCAACACCAAACCCTGCGTGTGGG